CTTGAGCGACGTCTTCGATTGGTGGATGCCGGAGAAATCGCCCGAATCCGTAAACATCCCTAACATGCCAAAATGAACTGGACAGATTTACAATAGATGTCAGTCCTATCGGACTGTGCTTTGCATCCACAAAATGTCAAGTATTTCTGTGGGATTGGCAAGGACTAAACAGTGAGCTGGGCATGGTTGGGAATCAGCTGGTACATGTTCAGAATCTCAAGTACTTCGGCAGCTCTGTTAGTGTTCGTGGAAATGACGATGCTGTCATAAAATGTATGACATTAGCTTGAGGTGTTTCTGGCAAACACAGCCAAACTTAGCGCCGTAGCGAAGTCACTATCGCCCTGAAGAGAAGGGTTCATAATGCGGTCCTACTTCCAAATCTGCCTACGGATTGGAAACCTGGTCGAATTATATACAGTGCATGGTTACTTACGATCATCACCGGCTTCCCGGCATAACTCAAGTCTGGTGGGAAAAACTTGTCAGCGAGCAGCGTGTTCCACGTCATGTATTTAGTGCAGTATGAGCGATATGCCGCTCGACACGGGCACTGATATTTGCTTCATGTGAGGCGCATCACAGCATACCGTCTCCCGCGTCGTGGATTGGTTGCGTATTAGACGGTGTGGATGAATGTGGAATGATAGTCCAGGCGATAAATTGGTCAATGAGGGTGAAGGCTCCCAATTCGAAGCAATCGTCGGTTGGCGTCTCCTGGTTGCTGGTTTGGACCCCGTAATAAATAAACACATTTAGTTGAATTTATAATTTACTTGGTAAGGTGCCTGCCCAAATGGCGTTTGTGTTGTGAATTAAGCTGTCCCTCCCCATCGCGCTCAACTTCCCATTCCAGCCATCATTTCATATGTGAGGTTTAATATGAATTAACAAGATATTACATATTTGTAATGTCCATGCTTTTTTTCTAACTATCTTTATTGCGATAAATTAGCAGATATGTTTATAAACTATAGCCAACCTGCACTGACTACTGCTGAGGATGTTTGGCAGTGTTAAGGTGATTTGTACACACAAATTGTCATCAACCTATTCACATCTAAGAACGTAGCGTGCTTTGCCTAGAACCTCTTTTAAATTCGAATAAAAGAACAGACAATTAAAGCTCGCATATGATGTCCGGTAGGTTGCCATTCAAGGATGATTCCCTTAATATCCTTTAAAACGCTACCGCAGATGTAACATGAGTCAGAATGGAAGGCACTCCCTAATTTTCCCTTAAGTCCTAACACCCTTATTTATGTTAGGTCTGGCTGTGAGATGCAGAACGTAACGAGAGCATCCGGTCTTCAAATACTTGCAGATGGCTTTGTTACATCCGGACCAAGAAATATATTACCCGTAATTTAGATTCACTTAACTCTAGCTTAAATGAACTTCATGCACGAAAATGGCACACCGAAGTCCCACTTCTAGGTGGAGAAACAAAAACCGTATATTTTGTTTCAATTCTCCTTCATATGTTTACACTATTCAACCAGGCTAGGACTTCCGAATACTTGCCATTAGCTAGTGTGTTTTGAAAAGAGAAACAAAACCATCAATAACTCTTTGGTTCCAAATTCCTGCAATATTTTATCATACCCGATCACATATCATCCCACAATGTCGCGAGACATGTTTGTTACCCACTTATTTCGTTTAAAGTTTCTGCCTCCTAATTTAACCAATTCATTGTTTTTCTCTGTTATTCGGTTGGATACGTGTAGGCTGATCTCCTGTGATGATAGCTTGAAGCTACTAAGAAACATATATACCCAAGCCAAAAGACAATCTGGTGAATATAATACAGGTGTAGGAATTAAAAGTTGTTCCAATCTGAACTACTGACATTACGCTTACTGGCATATGACCCAAACCGGTGATCCAGGGCAACATGCACGCACAAAATACAACTATGAATGACGGAAAAACTCGAGTGACAAGTTCACCAAATAACTTCAATTGCCCAAATGATGAATATAATCCGTAGCGCATGCGTTCGTTTAAACCACACCGAATCGTGACCAGATGGGGCGCGGAGTATCGGGTGCAACTACTTGAGGCACTACCCTGCATAGAAGCTGATAACCTGGAGACGGTTCCACGAAGCCCGTATTACAGCACTTGTTCTCTCTTACAATACTTCACTTTGCATTGAATCTGTCTTGTACCTAGATCCTAGTTACTCCGTCTCTACCGACCTACTGTCTTACCAATATTTCCCATTAAATTATTGCACAGATCATAGCCTGGCATTTAGTTGTGGTGAATTCCTTCTATATCTCTACACCACAAATCGGACAACTATTGCACACTTTGGTAATCACCCTGTCTTTGGCATCTTCTACAAGACTACCATCCACTAAACAAGTTCTGAACTTGCAGTGAATAGGTGTTCGCTTTTTTTGTCTTCTTATCACTGCAATCCTCCCATATCAACATAACTTTTTCTTTGTACAGTTGCTCACGCCATAAATATGATCACAAGTTCAGGCTAAAGGAACGCAACTGAGCTCACGCAGCACCCTAATCACCTGTCATCGCAAAACACATCTTTACTAAGTCAGTTTCATAATAAGACCTAGCAAAATTTAGATGCCACACCATGCCTAAACTCCTTACCATCTAAGTATTTTCTATTTTATTATGCTAAAGCAACTTGAGTTTAATGATTCAATGGCTATGCCTAAAAATACTCTTTTCTTCTTTTCAACACTCTTTAACTTGCTGCTTACAAATAGCTCTAACTGTCTTACACCAGTCTATTAAGTATGATTGTGCATTGCTCAAATGTCTTTGATTGGTGACTCCAACTCTTTCATCATTTTCATATTTCTTCCCCTCCATCAAACTGCCGCAAGCGTGGCATCACCAAGCTGCACCGAAAACAACCAGATGAGAACGCATACGAACCGGCAGCATATGGCGACAGAAATCCAAATGAAATCATTCGCAAAAAATATCACTTTTTAACCTTGTAAATACCCAATCCATTGATACCTTCGCATGCTTGAGCATGTTGCGCCAATTTAAATCATCTCCGCTAGCATGCTTGTTCCAGTTTCAACCATTGAGTGCAATTGAGTTGGTGTGATAACCTATAAATTAATTACATTTTACACTGTTTCACCCAGAGCTGCGTCTAATGTACGAGCAGGTTTCAATCTGTTGCGAAAGAGGTGGCTAAATGTGTTTCCATGACGCGTTCCCTTTCAAATATTTAAACTTTGTTTGCCACACGCGCTATCAAGGCACTTGTACACTGGTGTTGCCTGACACATGCGCTGTTGCCATGTTAACCGCCGGTACATGTTTGACTTTCTTCTTGCGTGCCTGCAGTATGCTTTTTACCAAAGTTTGAATTTTATTGCAGCTTGAACCTTTGTATTTGTTCTTAGATAGAGCTCCATTAAAGTTAGTTTTTCGAAAATTAACTTTAAGGTTTGAACGTAATTCACCACAATTCCTCAACGCTTTAACAAATACACACCAAATTGGTTAATTTGAGGAGTAAGATACAGTGACTAACGGATTATTCTTTATATATTTCACTACTCAACAACATAGGTCGTTCAATATTTGTCATAATTAAACGTTATCTACAAGCCAACTGCAAAAGAAACAATGGAACAAATACGTAACATTCGTACCAAAACTTGCAAATTTAGATGACGAACAAATTAGTGGATGTACAGCTACATCCGGCTTGCAAGTTATATAGATGCATATTGTCAAAGCAACATCAGCAGATTAGTTATAAAGATGGCGAATGCTATGTGCTATATGGTCTGTTCTACGAGTTAGCAATGTAACTGGTATGAAGCTGTGAAGTTTAAGAGATTTGTGCTAGTATTTTTGGTTTCCTCGACAAATATTATAATGACATTTCCAGCATCCCAACATGTTTGCCGCTTGAAGACAAAAACAACATAATGAGGTTGACCTTGTTATTTGCTCTGTCGCAGTAGTGATAATGCTCTTTAACAAATGGCTACTAATTGAAGACTATCGAGTACATTTGTTTTTCTTGCCTTATTAGTTCGATTTAAATAAAATGTAACTAACTTCCTGCCTAATCTCTACAAATCCCTTGTCTCATGACGCGTAGCACGTGAGACAAACTTTTGGGTTTTTTAGTCCTTTATGAATACTCCAGTAATCATTTCGGTATAAACGTGAATTCGCAATTTTATCTTTGGCACTCACTGTAAGTAAGAACTAAGCATTACGTATATTAACTTCTTGTTAACTGCATCTCAATTTCGGATAAGCATTATAAAAATGATAGTTAAATATTCTCAAACCTGGAATCCAAAACGGTTGATGATTTTCTCTCTCCAGCGGTAAAATACACTTTCGTGCGCTCCTCCGATATATAAATAATCAGCAAGGTTGAAATTTTTCGAAAAATTTCCGGGGGTCACAGACATCTGAGTTACTGACTCCGTCAATTCATCTTTATCAATCGTGGTAATAATTAGGTTGTCCTCAACGTTATACCTAAGAAGAACAGAGAATCATTTGAAAGCACATTGGCACGATCTTTTACGTTTGAGCGCAGTAAAACACTAATATTTCATTAGTTGCCATACTGATGTGAATTATGAAGTCATATATTGCAGTAATGAATCCTCCAAGAGCGTTTATGTTTGAAAATGAATACCTACTTTATTTATTGTACGAAGTACTGAATGATTGTTTTCTTTAAACTAAGTTTATCATCAGTAATATATAACGAGCTTTTGCAATGAAGGAACGCAGCCCATTAAGCAATTAATTTTTATTATTATTTTAATTGACCAAATTAGATTACTTATGCGCGTTTTGTATGAGATTTACAACCAACATTTAAATTGATTTCGCTCACAAGCACTATGTTCCACCTGTGTCATTTTGTCAATGTCATCATTAATTATTTTAAGGTATTCGTGCTGCAACAACTTCCCGATTAGTATTCTGTAATATGCCCTACATAGTATACAAATCGCCATGGAACATCACCACAAATGTACTTGCCTTAACATCTCAACTTCGTGCCATTTGTTGTCATTCACTCGGTTAGGCGAAACTTGATATCTCCGCGGCCCACTCCCCATATCAAAGCTGAGGAATAATCTAGCTTTATGTAGTTCAAACAGGATAAAGTCTCCACTGGACAGGTCTGAATTGAAAAGTAGGAGTCCGTTAAGCTGTGTTGTGCGGAAGGCAAATCGTAGGCTGAATTTGCCATACAGCTGCAGGGAAGGACACATCAAGTATCCAAAGGCATCCAAAAAGGTGATGATATTTACAAGATGGTGATGATTACTACGTGAATGTCGTGTTCTTCGCCTTGCTGATGAATGCGAAACTCCTTCTGTCGCAGTGTTGCCATCATAAAAATGATTGGTGATACCAAGCAGTTTTTCGGTAATTTTTGGCTCCTGAAGTCCGACATTGAACTGTGATGACAACCACCGACCTCCTACGTAAAAATGCACAAATAACGCGAGTTAGTTAAGCGTACCATATTCAAATATACAAAAGCAAAATGAGCAAAGGCATGTAGGATTTATACCAACATAATATACAGTTAAATCTGTTAATTCACGCTTATGATTTTTCCGCTTAAATAATAAAACTTAATTTTAAAACATGTAACTGCTGATGCACCGCGAGATGCAAACAAATACGCCTCAGTATAATAAATCCTTGCAGCCCATCAGGCATCAAAGTATTCATTCAATATTTTTACTTTGACTGTAGTCCTCAGTAGTGTCTAACTAGGATCATCTGTGTATAATTAAATAATGGTTAATACGAATATAGGGTTAATTAAAGGCCTTAATAAACTGCAAACCAATTGTATATTTAGTTGTATCTGATGCAATTGCTTGGTAGACAATGAGTATTTAGCCATCTTCGCGCAGCGTAGTAATGCATGATACTCACTTACGTTCCAACAAATTATTCACTTACTTACTTAGATACTCTTTATATAACTGTCGTTGCATATATTTTTAAAAAAGCACATATCCGCATATATTCATATTCGAGCTCACAGTGCCTTATTAAAAAGTGCTAATGTTTGCACATCACTACTGAAGATTTTTCAATGAACCTCACTTTCTAATGTTTGCCTACTGAAAAAGGTACAGGGCATGAGAACGAAGAGCAGTATTATGTTGAATCGTATTTTATCCATGGATTAATTACATCCGATGAGAAACCAATGTCATTGCTGTTTTCTAGGCGATTCGATTGGCACATGGTTTGAAACGTCTCGGTGTTGCGATTAATGGAGAATGTGTCATGACCAATTATATTGCGCACACTAGGACACAAATAATTTCACATAAAACTTGGATTGAAAAGTATTTTAGGGAAGTTTGCAGATAAATGAGAAACAATTTCTTTGGAGGCAATTTTTTGTCATCAAGATTACTTTATATGCCTTCCCCAACAGCTGAGTGATTAATTGTCTTTCGCTGAAGGCTTTGCAACTTTGTCAGTGGATTCATAAAAAACATCAACGAAGAATTCAGCCAAAAAACATATAATAGAATAGAAAGCGTAATACACTTGCTTCCAACAATTATATGAACATGATGCATATAATCCATGGGAACAAAAATCCTGTTGATTGGGAAGATCAAGCGTTGCGCGTTGCAGTGCATTGGTTGTGTATGAGCAAAGTCAATAATAAAGCTTAAATTTTGTACAATAATATTTGTACGCTTCGCAAACGAAGTAAAGGAGTGCTGAGTTCGGAACGCGGATGAAATTATGTTAAAATTTTAGACCTTATTACATTAATCCTAATGCCAGTTTTAAATCTTGTATGTGCGGTGAAATTAGCGCGCAGTCATTGCTGGTTTATGCTTCTGAATTATTCTTTGTCAATTCTATCCTCATTATATCCCATTAAGCTAACGTACGCGAAAGGGACACTACTGCCTAAATCTCCGGGTAAGAACCTTTATACGATTATTAAGAAACACCAGTGCCTCCGATGTGAATTGTTATGCAACTTTACTACCCTTACTCTGGTAATCTGTGTCTGCCCGCTTCTGTGGCTTCTCACGAATAAATGGCGGTATCGTTTAAAATGCACCAATAGCAAGCAAATTGCATGAAGCCTGACACTATATTTTGTTTGGCCAGATATATTCAGATAATTATGTTGAAGAAAATGCGAACCTAATAACTAATTCCTTGTAAGTGTGGATGGTATAGATAACAACATCGGTTCAGCTAAACCAAACATGATATTAGCTTGAGGCACTATTAGTAAAGTCACCTAATACTATAGATAACGGCTTTCTACCGATAGTCACAACGAATATCTAAAGGTATCATACAAATGACATAAAGACCAAACCCAATTAAACCCCGAAAGCCATTTCACAAGCAGGGAAAGTTGTACTAGTAGACAAAGTAAACATTCGTTACGCTTTAAACTTTGCTTTAAGTCTTACATCATAATCATATGTCTATTTTGAGGAAATCATTAATATAAACAGCGTCCATATATGTTAAATTCCTAGCTGCATAAACCTAAATGCTGCATATTTTTATTATAATTACTAGCACATTATTAATGTGTTCTTCAAAATACTAACTATTAAAATATTATTTTGTATATGTTTACTACTCTGCTATATACCAATCTACGTTTGGGCACCTAAAGGAAAACCACTGTTGTTTAGTATCCAAATTTGCATGCAAAACGCAGCTAAATTACTAAACACCATATTTGGGTCGCATATTCAGCCGGAAAACTAACTACAGCTGTACGTTTGCTGGTGCTCTTTACCTCCAAACTAGCATAATATATGCTTAGGTCGAATAACTATAGCAATTCGACTGCTTCTCGGTACTGATTTTTGAACTGATTACAAATCCGTCAGAATAAACCTTATAACTTCCAAACCTAATCTAGTCACAATGATCTTTAAAATTTTCCGTTTATATGAAGATAAATAGTATGTATTTCGCTTTTACAAGCAAGTACGTGGAAAGAAGCTTTTCCACTTGTTTTAATGTAAAAGCTGGAAAACACTTACAAATAGATTGTTGAAAACAGCGCAGTAAATAGTGGAATGGCAAAAGCAGCAAATCCGTTACTTTACTCAGCTGGTCTGCAAGAACAAAAGCCAGGGATTATTTAAGTGCGCTGCTTGGTGTTAAATTGCTACCCATCCGATGCCACAGAGGCAGCCTTGCAAAATATATTTGCTTCCATTACAAAACTAAACAACCATATTTCAAGTAAACATGTTACTAGCTCACAATTTTTATATGTATTCATAGAATTATCTACAGATTGCAACCTACTTTATAAGCTTAATTTGTATTCAAGAAGCTTGTGCTGGCGTACAAAACATACCAAGTAAATAGGCCTACCGTTGCTGCGGATGCTTAAAGCTTCTAAAAATAAAATGATTTCCGTTAGTCAAATCCAGGTAGATTTTTAGAGTTTGCCAGCCCATTTAAAGACGAATATTATGTCACCACACTTATGTTAACAGAAATGTTATCGTTTCCTAAATAAGTGGTTGCTAACAACGGAATACGCAACTTCAATAATTAACAGCTTTATACGGTTATCGCAAATTGTGTAGGTCATGAAACACTACACAACACAGCGAAAACTTTTTCGCTAATTTTATTTATAAACCTCATTTAAAAATACATAAAGAAAAGTAATGTTTATATTAAGCTGCTTATTTCGTCAGTTTTCTTAGTCTGCATGTTTTAGTAGTATCTAAGAATTCGTAGTTTGTCAAAGACTAAATACTAATTTTTGCTGTATAGCTACTAAAGTCCCAATAAGTATTCCGTGTGTGCATTGTCATGATTGTCTATTTTTGCATGCATGAGCAATTTTAAATTTTTTTCGGAAAGTTCAACAGCAACCAAATTAGTTCTGCTTCTACAATTATTCAATAATTTCCAATAAATATTTCCTCAAAATTTTGGTTCCTTCGCACTGTGGCTCGTTCACAAATATATTTGGACACACTGCCAATGTTATTACGTGCGTTGCTTGACATGATACACTATAAATATAGTCTGTTGGATAATTTCTTGATCAATATGTTTGAATAAACATACTTTCATTCATCATTTAGTAACGATTGACGCGGTCAAATGCAGAAAATGGCAGGTTTAGTTTCCATCAATGCAGCTTGCAGCCAAAACTGCTTGACTGAAGGCAGCTTTAGAAATACCTTCGCATAAACCGGGCTTTATTTTTTAGTGATTAACACAGCCTTCCTTTCCTTCAATATTCAATTTCACGCTATTCCTGTTTTCCAGTGAGCATCTAATTAGCTGGTACTTTGTGTTATCCTAGCTAAAAGACCGCAATGATTGTTCAGCGTCTGGGCAGATACTACAAACTCAACAATTGAGGAAACCACGAAAGAAAGATTATTTGCATACTACTGATAAACAAAAGCCGGTATGAAAGTGGCGATCAAAGCTGAGGCATTTTCTTGTGTCTACTTTCAAAAAGCCAACGCTTAGGGCACGAATTTTTCAGGATGCAGTAATTTTCCGACCCTGATTTATAAACTCTAAGATGTGAATGAGGACCTATTAAAATTAAAGCAAGCCATCGGTCTTGGCACAAGTAACGATAAGTAAAACGACCAATGCGATTAACTTTTGTCAACAAAACCAGCACCAAAAGATAACTGTCGCGACTGAGTAGGCTGAAAGTTTAGATCAACATCTTAGTCTAGGCATAGATTCAGTTTATGGTTAGCACGTCAAGTGTGAACTCCTGTAGCTAAAGCTGAAAACCGGTGAGTGTGAAAGTATCCTAGGTATTTTAAAGTTTTTTGTAGTTTCAGCGCGCAAGCAACATAGTATAATTCGGTTGCTCATACAAGATAGGTAGTTTCCACTACACCGCTGAGAAGCACAAATTCGAAAGACTATGAACAGGAGTGGTGAGCTTTTTTGCTTCCACACTTTTGGTAGAACATACGTAACCGGACGACGATATAGCAAACGAACGATGAGACAATCACCTAGAATATTGACCTTTGTGGGTACTATGTTTTCAGCACTGTGACATATCGAATGCAAGTGTTGGACGATTGGAAGTCGGTTTTAAAACCACTTTTCCGTTGCAATTTATATAAGGTACTGCTACGCAACAGCTCAAATGATTGTTGAATGTGCATTTTTTAATGTTTGGTTATCATAGAGGTTAACCACTGATAAGTATATCTAACAGCAATGCGCCACAAATTATTGTGGATTATACGTGTTTATGATACCATATGAAAACTTGAAGAACAAACAGAAAGTTGACATGTCAGAGGTAGCATTTTTAAAGTCTGCCAATATTTTTGAAACGGACATAAAATTCAACTCGCGTTAATAGGAAATACCTAGATTTTGTTTCATTAATATTAAACAAATGTCGCATCCTCCGCTTCGATAATACAGATATGTTGATTATATACTTAA